AATCAATCATATACTTGTCGGACGCGTATAACAAATCATAAGTCATTTCATTCAATTTATTACACTTTCCAGTATAGAGATAATTCAGGAACTGGTCGAAGACACGGCTGTCGATGTCATCGATGATCACTTCATTAGTTTTCCTTTCAATACAATCAGTGGTAAACATCTTCTCGAAGACAACTGATTTCGAACTGAGAAGCAGTTTTGAGGCGAAAAACTTTTTCTTGTCTTTGCCGACAATCAGACGACAATCGGTGAGCTCTTCGATGCCAAACAATTGGCCGAAACGACTGGCGTTTGAATCGCAATGACTATCTGAACACTTATTCTTGTAAACTGTTAGATCTATACCAATGGTCAGTATATTATCGGTTAATAGTAAGTCTTGAAAGTCTAACAATAATTGTTTTGTGATAAACAATGCAAAACTCCAACTCTTCAACTCATTAAATGTTTTCTTAATCTTTTTTTTGCCAAACCATTGGTTATTGTTGTCAATGACGGAGAACTCATAGTGTGTTTCAACGGGTAATTCATTACTTTTGGACAAATATAAGTAGACACCAACCGATTCATTCTTCCAATCAATACTACAATACCATTCATCTGATCCAATCGTAAACTTATTGCTATCAATATACTTCATAATCGTCCAATTGGTGTCCAATTGTTTAGCAAAGTCCATGACTTTGAACACCACTCTTGTCTTGTAAACCACTTTACTGTTGTTATTCATCTGCAATGATATTATAGATGTGTTGGTCTGTTATATATAAAATACTTGATTGTGCGGACACACAGACAGTGATCTCTCGTATAAATCAATCAATAAATTTAATTGTATGACAACTATAAAACATGTGTTAAAAACATATAATAATTATAATTAATAAAAAAAACAAGTTTTTCATACATACATACATAATGTTAATTAAATTCTACTTTTATTGATATTTAATTTTATTCAAACAATACGTTAACATTAGTTAACAAAAGTTATAAAAATAAAACAAATCATTTACTAATTTTGTGTAATTGTATATATTTTTAATGAAGTTTTTTTAAAACAACAAAATTGAAACATTGAATACTAGAGAATATTATGCATTATTAAAAAAATTATACTTAACTGTATTATAATTACCGGTAATATTATTTGTTTAATTAAAATATTTATGTTTATCAATGATAGCTATATAAGAAATATTTAACAAATTATAATAATTAAAATTATTTTCTATAACTGTATGTATAATACATTAAATCGCTTTTTATTTTGTTTTTCGGTAAATGTCTATCAAATTGGCCGACAATTTATGTGTCATATATTTTGAATCTAATATCTTATTATTATATTATTATATATTAAATTATTATAATACATGTGTGTAATATTATATGTAATAATATTAATTAATATATTGATTGATTATATTATACCGGTAATTATAAATACGGGTAATAAATGTATAGTAATATTCATTGATATGGTAAACAATTACAGATATACTATAAGTACGATAATCATAATTAATTTGTATAACTATATGTATAATACATTAGTTTTGATTTATTAATACATTTTGGCAAATGTTTATCAAAACAGCCGACAATTTCTAAGATATTTCCCGAATCGATGGCATAATGTTTAATCATCTCCTGAGTGACAACTGAAATAATATTATAGCCGATCCATTGGTTTGTCTTTTTCATCAGTTCTTCATCGGCACCAAAGTTTTGAAATAGTTTTAGTATTTTGTAAGCATTTTTACCATTGATTTGCAAATAAATCAAATTCAAACAAATAGTCTTCAGCGACAATACCATATACTTGTTGGCCACGTATAGCAACTCTTCAGTCATTTCATCTAATTTATCACACTTTCCAGTGTAGAGATAATGCAAGAACTGTTCGAAGACTTCGCTGTCGATGTCGTCGATGACCACTTCGTTGTTTTTACTTTCAATATAATCAGTGGTAAACATCTTTTCGAAGACCACTGATTTCGAGCTGAGAAGCAGTTTTGAGGCAAAAAACTCTTTACGGTCTTTGCCGACAATCAGCCGACAATCGGTTAGTTCTTCGATACCAAACAATTGGGCGAAACGACGACGTTTTGAGCCACAACTTTCGTGACATTTATTCTTCTTGTAAACTGTTATATCGAAACCAATGGTCAGTGTATTATCAACCAATAGACTAACTTTATTGTCCATTAATTCTTGTTTTGTGATAACTGATGTCAAACCACAGTCTCCAATGACACTAAATATTTTCGTGAACTTCTTTTGATTAAACAATTGGTTATTCGTGTCAATGATTGACATCAAGTATTTTGTTTCAATCGGTAGTTCATTACTTTTAGATAAAATCAGATACAAACCAATTGCATCATCTTTGCAATCAATATAACAATACCATTTATCTGATCCAATGGTGAACTTATCGCTATTAACAGACTTTCTATTCTTCTGGCAATTGGTGTCCAATTCTTTGGCAAAGTCCATGACTTTGAATATCACTCGTGTCTTGTAAACCACTGTATTGTTGTTGTTATCCATTGTCGACATGACATCCGATTGATGTGTTGATCTGTTATATCATATATGATATATATATATATATATATATATTACTTGATTGTATTGACACACAGTTGTTGTAGTTGTTGTTGTGGTAATCAATCAATCAATTAATTAAACTGAATGTGAATTTAATAGACAATAAAAAACAATAGAATTATTATTTTTTATAATAATATTTCAATCATTCATTGAAACAAAAATGTCAAACAAATATATACAATAATATGTATAATAAAACAAACATTTACAGTATTGTATAATTAAATTAACTGTAGTTATACAGTACTTTTAATTATTATACGTTTAATTATTTTACTACAAATTATAAAAATATTTTAATCATATTATTTTTTTTTATATTTTATTATTATGAACAGTGAAAAATTAATTACAAATGTTTTAATATAACATTTGAATATATAAATTACTATAAAATTATTATTTTTTTTTAAAAATAGTTATACAAATATATTATAAATCTCTATTAAATTATATACAAATTTTGTAATTGTAATGAAAAATTTATTTATTTATTACTTACATTGTATTTATATAATTTTTAAAAATACGAATATATATAAACTGGTAGTAAAATAAAATTAATTAAAATTAAAATTAGTTAAATTAATTTGTATAACTAAATGTATAATACATTAGTTTTGATTGAATTTTCGGCAAATGTTTATTAAGACAATCGACAATTTGTGTCATATTAGCCGATTTGATGTCATATTGTTTCAGAAATTCTTGATTAATCACTGAAACAATATTATCGGCGATCCATTGATTGGTCTTTTTCAACAGTTCCGCTGATGAACCGAAATATTCAAATTGTTTTAATATTTCCAAAGCATTTCTACCATTAATTCTGAGAAAAATCAAATTCAAACAAATAGTTTTCAGCGAATCAATCATATATTTGTCGGAAACATAAAGCAATTCATCAGTGAATTCATCCAATTTGTGACACTTTCCAGTATAGAGATAATTCAGGAACTGTTCGAAGACATCGCTGTCGATGTCATCGATGACCACTTCGTTGTTTTGCTTTTCAATCAAATCAGTGGTAAACATCTTTTCGAAGACAACTGAATTCAAACTGAGAACAAGTTTCGATACGAAAAACTCTTTACGATCTCTGCCGACAGTCAGCCGACAATCGGTTAGTTCTTCGACGCCAAACAATTGGGCGAAACGACGACGTTTTGAACCACAACTTTCGTGACATTTATTTTTCTTGTAAACAGTTATATCGAAACCAATGGTCAGTGCGTTATCTGTCAATAGTTTATCCTTTAAGTCTAATAATAGTTGTTTTTTGATGAATGGTGAGTAACCCCAACCGGTTATCTCATGAAATGTTTTCACAATCAGTTGTTTGCCATACAATTGATTATTGTTGTCAATGATAGACATTTGGTATTCAGTTTCAACCGGAAGTTCATCACTTGTTGATAAATTTAAATACACATCAATCGATTGATTTTTCCAATCCATACGACAATACCATTCATTGGATCCAATGGTAAACTTATCGCTTGTAATTGACTTTTTAGTCAACCAATTGGTGTCCAATTCTTTGGCAAAGTTTATAACTTTGAATATGACTCGTGTCTTGTAAACGACTTTGTTATCCATCGATGTATTTTGTTTTGGTTGTCTCTCTCTCTCTCTCTCTCTCTCTCTCTCTCTCTTTCTTTCTTATGTCAATTGTTTGTCCGGATAGTTGTTGTAATAACTAATTAATTAATCAATCAATTAATTAATAGAAATTTAATTGAAATTTTTAAATGACAACAAAACACGCGAGAAATTAGAAATATTAATAAAAAAAATAATTATTATATGTATTGTTGTCATCAATAATAATAATAATTAAAAAAAACTTATTTAATTAATTCAAACCAAATATTATATAACAGTAAAAATATTTTCAACAATAAAAAAATATTTATAAGCTGTATAAATATAACATAAAACTTATATAAACTTAAAACTATTTATAGTACATTTATTACAATACAAACATTTATTAATGTATTAAAGTGTTATTTATAGTAATACAGTATATTATTATATTTTAGTATAGATTTTTTTTTGAAAAATAAAAATTATATTATATTATAGCAATAACTTAAGTAATTAATAACGATTAGACAAACAAACAAAAAATACAATCATTTTTATTAATAATCATTTAACTAAAAAACAAAATATTAATATAATAATACAATATTAATAAAAACATACTTTTTTTATAATACTATATGAAATATTTTGTTTTAATTTATATAAATATTACGTAAAATGTTGAGAGAAAAAAATTAAATAATAATTTATATATTATTTATCAATGTTTTTTTTTAAAAAAAATAATTTGTTATAGACTTCTAAGTGACAACAAAAAAGTGTTATAGCAGAGCGTGGTTTCGATCCACGGACCTCTGGGTTATGGGCCCAGCACGCTTCCACTGCGCCACTCTGCTAGATGAATTATAAATATATTAATAAAATTAATTAACAGATTAACAATAAAAATTAAATAATAAAAAAAATTGCTAATTAATTAATTCATACTTTACTGTAATTTTTTTTTTAGATTAGTCATTGAAAGTAGTATTATTAACTTATTTGAACGAAAGTTTTAACTATTAAAAAATATTTGAAACGAAAAATAATATATATATTTTTTAGCTATTTTCCTGAAAAAATTGGATATATTTTATTTATGGGAACTTTCCTCCCTGGGGGGAATTTCCTTAATATTTATTATACTGTGTATAGTATCAATATTTTTACTATTTTGTAGATTAATTATATATATATTTATAATTAAAAATAAAAATCCAATATTAATAATAATAGTTTTATGTATTTTATTTATTAACAGTAAAAATAATTAAACTTTATATACTGTATATATAATTTACTAATGTTTTTTTTAAAAATAGTTTTATTATTTTTGTATAAACATTTTTTTACAATTAATTTGCAATAAAATTAAATTTAGATAAATAGTCAATATATAGCAACTTTTCACTTATTTCATACAATTTGTTACACTTTTTTTTTAGTTTAAAGATAATACAAAAACTACTAAATTAGTTATTAGTATTATTTCAATAAATAAAAGTTTTAAAAAAAAAATTAAATATTAATAAATTAAAATATTTAATTAATCAAATAATAATAAAAAGAAAATTGTTTTCTCAAAAATTGTTATAATTATTTACTAATTAAAATAACTAAATGTATAAAACATTAGTTTAGTCTTAGGTTTAGTCAATTGATTTACTAAATGTGCGACAATTGGTAACATATTTTCTGAATCAATGGCAAAATGTTTGATAAACTCTTGTCTTAAAACTGAAGTAATATTTTCAGCAAAAGATTCGCTAACTTTTTTCACCAGTTCTTTATCGGCGCCAAAGTCTTGAAACAGTTTCAGTGTTTGCAAAGCATTTCTATCATTGATTTGCAAATAAATCAAATTCAGACAAATAGTCTTCAGCGACGATACCATATATTTGTCGGCAACGTATAGCAACTCTTCAGTCATTTCATCCAATTTGTTACACTTTCCAGTGTAGAGATAATTCAAGAACTGATCGAAAACATTGCTCTCAATGTCATCGATGACCACTTCATTGGTTATCTTTTCCTTACAATCAGTGGTAAACATCTTCTCGAAGACCTCTGAATTTGAACTGAGAAGTAGTTTTGAGGCATAAAACACTTTCTTGTCTTTGCCTACAATCAGTCGACAATCAGTTAGTTCTTTGACAGAAAACAATTGTTTGAATCGATGATTCTTTGTGGCAAAACTGCTATTATTCTTGTAAACCATTACATCGATACCAACTGTTAGTGTATTATACGGTAATAGTCTATCCTTATTGTCCAACAATTGTTGTCTTGTAATCAACGATCGGATACCCCAACTGATAATACCATCAAATGTTTTTTGAATCTTTTTTTTAGCAAACAATTGGTTATTCGTGTCAATGACTGAAAACTCATATTGTGTTTCAATCGGTAGTTCATTACTCGAGGACAACTGTAAATACAGACCAACCGATTCATCTACAAACTCAATATTACAATACCATTCATCCGATCCAATCATAAACTTATCACTACTAATAACTGTCACATTTGTCCAATTGGTGTCCAATTGTTTAGCAAAGTTCATGACTTTGAACGCAACGCGTGTCTTGTAAACGATTTTGTTGTTGTTGTTGTCCATATCCGATGCCAATTGGTCTGTATATCACTTGATTGGTGCGGTTAACAGAGTTAACCAATAATTTATCGGTAATTAACTGAATGGCAATTTAAATGACATTAAAAACTTGGTGTTAAGTCATATCATATCATTAATTGGCTGTTCTATAGTATAGCTCCCAATTGTTGAGCACGCGATTATTATTATTTAATACAGTTTTAACATTAAATTTATGAACCTAAACGTGACCTAACCTAAACTAAACTAAATTAAAATACATATATAATAAATATATGGAAATAATAATCGCGTGCTCAACAAGTGGGAGCTATACTATAGAACAGCCCAGTTGTCGGCGATTTGTATTATATACAGCCAATGATGTTAGCAATGAAGCCGACGATAACAGAATATTTCTGGAAATTTTATTTATTTATTTTTATTAATTAATTAATTTTGATAGAAATGCTTAGAAACAGAAAACAGTAGTAGTTATTAATACAGTAATTGATTTGTCTGGACATACCTTTTAGTTACTAATACAAAATCATCGTTTTTATAGAAACAATCAAACAATAGTAGGCATTCAAAAAATTATGAAAAAACATTAACTAACAGTCAATTTATGATAAATAAATATATAATAATTAATTTAATATTTCGTTTTTACAAATTATGATTTAAAATTTTTAATATTACAACAATATATATATATATATATATATATATGTGTTAATGATATTAGTTTGTCTTGAAAATAGTTTGAATTCAAAATTTTAAAATATTAAAAATTGCAGTGTATTTGTAGTATAACTGTCAATAAATTATAATTTGTTTGAATTGTTATCTAAATATCTAAATTGTGTGAAATTTATATGATTTGTTTGAAAACTATTTGGCAATCATTGTGTCCGTGTATGGCATCGTCGGTCAACAAAAAAAAAGACAATCAGATATCTGATTACAATGAACTGAAAAGTCGTGAATATAAAGTACCGACCGATAGGTTTCCGACAGTCGATTCGGTTATCGAAAGCAGGAAATGGCTGATCAAAGAGTTTTTAGGTAAAGGATCCTACGGTGATGTTAGACGAACAGTGAACAGTAAAACTGGTGAAGTAATGGCCTGCAAGAAGATTGCCATCAACAACGACGAAGTGATATCAGCGAAAAATTGCGAAAGAAATTGGCATCAATTGAATGGTGAACTCGTATTACTGGTCCGATCCAAACACCACAACCACAACAACATTGTCCGAGTGGTCGACCATTTTATTATCAAACAATGGAAACTGTTTGCCTGTTATTTGGTGATGGAGTTGGCCAACGGCCGTACAGTTTACGATCGTATGTGGAATCAACAGTCGGCCAAATATATGCCATTGACTGAAGATATAGCCAAACAGTATATCCGTGACACGGCTTGCGGTTTATCTCATTTACACGAAAACAAGATCACGCATAAAGATATCAAATTAAGTAATCTATTGGTGTTTATTGACGACAACGACAACAACAACAAGTGTGTGGTAAAGATTGCCGATTTCAGTACGTCTCGGATCAGCTTCAACGACGAAGATCATATCAAAGACCATAGATATCAGGGAACTGTCGATTATATGTCGCCACAAATATACAGACTGTATGCCTATCGTCAAACTGGTCGCCAACTACTCAATCATTCGCTTAAGTCGTACGATCCGTTTGCCGCCGACAGTTGGTCACTGGGTGTCTGTCTATTTGTTATGATATGCGCCAGAATACCGTTCCTACCTGAAGATCATGACTACTATAGCCAGGATTTACATAATTTCGATACCTATCAGACCATATACTCGAATATGATTAATAGAAAATATAAATTATCTCATAAAATACGGAAAACTTCTAGAGATATGTCCGATATGTTGGACCAACTGCTAGATCCGCAACCAACTAAGCGCTTATCTATGGCGTCTGTTTTGAAACACAAGTGGCTTATCAGTGATAGTTAAATAGATTTTTTTTCAAATAAATATATATATAATTAAAAATGAAAATTAGATTAATTAATATTTCTTATTATATACAGTATGTAATAGTCATTGATTATCATTTACAATATATTTATATAAATTATATTTTTTAAAAATTATATTTTATATTCAATTAAAAATATTTTTTATTCATGATATACTGGTATTTTATACTATACTATAGGTATATCTCAATAGTAAACAAAATATTTATTTTCTATTAATAATTGACATATATTTGTATATTTATATGCAAAACTAATAAGATTATATACTGTATAAAGTTATACAATACATTGTAAATTATTTAAAACATTTTTATTACAAAATTTCTAAATTATCTAATTATATTTATAAATGTAAATTATTTTTTAAAAAAATTAATTATAGTTATATAAAATTTATATATTGTAGATCTTAATTACAAATTAATTATAAATAATAATATAGTTGTACTTTATTTACAGTTGATTAAATATTTTAGTTTAATTAAAATAAATTATAAATTTTATACATATTTATATATTTGGTTTGTTTGTTTGTTTAATAATTTAAAAAACATTTATTATATTAAACCAACATTTTAAAAAAACTTAATAAAATATTACTATACTTATTATTAAGTAATTTAATTTAATTTTAAATAATTAATTGGTGAAATTTTACTCTGATTAATAAATTAGTAAAATTATTAATTTAAATAAACAATATGTATAAACTAATATTATATTCAAACAAAAAAACAAAATAATTACTGTATATTATTTTAATTGGTAAATATTTTAATTAAATATCTATTGGTTAAAATGTTTTAAATTAATAAATTTTAAGTTCAAATTTTTTTTTGCATAAAAATTGTGTCATTTATTTTATTTTTTTAATTAAAATAACTATATGTATAAAACATTAGTTTAGTCTTAGGTTTGATCAATTGATTTCCTAAATGTTTGACAATTTGCGATATATTTTGTCCATCGATGGCATAATGTTTGGTAAACTCTTGTTTGACAACTGAAGTAATATTTTCGGCAATAGATTCGCTAACTTTTTTCATCAGTTCTTTATCGGCGCCAAAGTCTTGAAACAGTTTCAGTGTTTGTAAAGCATTTCTACCATTGATTTGCAAATAAATCAAATTCAAACAAATAGTCTTCAGCGACGATACCATATATTTATTGGCAACGTATAGCAAGTCTTCAGTCATTTCATCCAATTTATCACACTTTCCTGTGTAGAGATAATTCAAGAACTGTTCGAAAACATTGCTATCAATGTCAGTGATGACCACTTCGTTGGTTGTCTTCTCAATGCAATCGGTGGTAAACATCTTTTCGAAGACCTCTGAATGCAAACTGAGAATCAGTTTAGAGACAAAAATCACTTTCAGGTCTTTGCCGACAATCAGCCGACAATCGGCCAACTCTTCGATACCAAACAATTGTGCGAAACGATGACATTTTGCGCCACAATTCTGATGACAATTATTCCTCTTGTAAACAGTTATATCAAAACCAATAGTCAATGTGTTATCCGTCAATAGTATATCTTTATTGTCTATCAATAGTTGTTTTGTGATAAACGATGACAAACCCCAACCATTTAATATATCATCAAATGTTTGGTCAATCTTTGTTTTGGCAAATAATTTATTATTATTATAAATAATGAATATATCATATTGTGTTTGAATGGGTAGTTCACTACTTCTAGACAAATATAAAAACAGACCAAACTTTTCACCATTGAGTTTAACCCCACAATACCATTCATCTGATCCAATGATAAACTTATCACTTTTTATAGATATAATATCAATCCAATTGGTGTCCAATTGTTTTTCAAAGTCCATGATTTTGAACACCACTCGTGTCTTGTAAACAAATTTGTTGGTATTATCGCCGATAATATCCATTGTGTTTGGTGTCGGCTCGGGTTAGATATCACTTGATTTTTTTATCGGACACACAGGAGTTGTTGTATTTATCAATTTTTTTTTGTTAATTACCGGTAATTAATTGAATACCAAATTTAAATCAAAAGCAAAAAACGTGTCAATCAATAGCCACGATATTAATTGTTACAATAAATGTAAAAAACAATTAATTTATTTATACAACAACAACAAAAAAGTTAATAATATAAGTAATAAATTATTGAAATTATAAAAATTCAAACCAAATCAAACATATGGTTAAAATATAATTAATTTTATAAAAAAATGTATACTAAATGTATATTTAAAAGAATTTATCTTTTGTTAATAATAATTAGAATATTTAAAAATTAATAATTTAGTATAAAATAGTATTTTAATGTAAATATGTATATAATAAAAAGTTTTTATTAATAAATAATTATTTTTAAAAAAATCTTTTATTGATAAAATTTTTATATTTATTTTCTAATTACAATAACTATATGTATAAAACATTAGTTTAGTCTTAGGTTTAGTCAATTGATTTCCCAAATGACTGACAATTGATGACATATTTTCTGAATCAATGGCATAATGTTTGGTAAACTCTTGACAGACAACTGAAGTAATATTTTCGGCAATAGATTCGCTAACTTTTTTCATCAGTTCTCTATCGGCGCCAAAGTCTTGAAACAGTTTCAGTGTTTGCAAAGCATTTCTACCATTGATTTGCAAATAAATCAAATTCAAACAAATAGTCTTCAGCGACGATACCATATATTTGTCGGCAACGTATAGCAACTTATCAATCATTTCATCCAATTTGTTACACTTTCCAGTGTAGAGATAATTCAGAAACTGATCGAAAACATCGCTTTCAATGTCATCGATGACCACTTCGTTGTTATTCTTTTCAATACAATCAGTGGTAAACATCTTCTCGAAGACCTCTGATCTCAAACTGAGCAGTAATTTTGATACTAAAAACTCTTTCTTGTCTTTATTGCCGACAATCAGTCGACAATCGGTTAGTTCTTCGATACGAAACAATTGTTCGAAACGACTGGGATTTAGGCCACAGATTTTGTGACAATTGTTAGTCTTCTGAATCGTTATGTCGATACCAATGGTAAGTATACTATCAGTCAATAGTATATCTTTATTATCGACTAATAGTTGTTTTCTGATAAATGTTGCGAAACCCCAGCCCTCTATTTCATCAAATATGTGGTCAACTTTTTTTCTGACAAACAATTGGTTATTGTTATCAATAATAGACATCCAGTATTGTGTTTCAATTGGTAGTTGACTACCAACAGACAAATCTAAATACAAACCAAACGATTCATTTTCAAGTCTAATACTACAATACCATTCATCCATTGATCCAATCATAAACTTATTGCTATCAATATACTTCATAACCGTCCAATTGGTGTCCAATTCATTGGCAAAGTCCATCACTTTGAATACCACTCGTGTCTTGTAAACGATTTTATTATCCATTGTCGATGATATCGATGACTATTTGCACTGTTTGTCTGTTTGATTACCGGTAAATTGATTTTGATTTAATCAATTCAATCAATTTAAATGACAATAAAATAAAACACGAGAGTTAAATGATATAAATTATTTTTCGACAATTAAAAATCAAAATGTATTTATTCAGGAATTCAATTAAACAAACAAAAAATTAAATCATATAATTATTATGAAAATTGTTTTAGACATTAAAAGATTTAATTGTTAATAAAAAAATACAGTATAAAAAAGTTACGATAAAAATCAATTTAGTTTTTGTAATTACCGTACAATAATTATATTTTTTCTAAATTTGTGACATATTTTTGTTCAATTATTTTTTTTTGATAAAAACTGAAATAATTTTTCCGACAATAGATTTCGGACAACTTATATGGATATATATATATACCGTATATACTGTAGTAATATATTAGTAAACAATTAATTTAGATAAAAGTATGTATAAAACATAACTTTTGTTGTAATTGTCGGTAAATTTTCTGCAAAATGATCGACAATTTGTGTCATATGTTTGGAATCGATGCCATATTTTTCTGATAGTTCTTTACTGATCACTGAAGTAATGTTTTCGCCGATAAACTGATTGACTTTTTTCATGAGATCTTCATCGGCACCAAAATCTTTGAGTAGTTTATATGTTTTCAATGCATTTACTGAATTGATTCGCAAATAAACCAAATTAAGACATATAGTCTTCAGCGGTTCAATCATATATTTGTCGGACATATATAGCAGGTCTTCACACATATCGACCAACTTATCACACGTTTCGGTATAAATATATTGGAGAAACTGTTCGAAGACATCGCTGTTCACGTCATCGATGACCACTTTATTGTCTGATTTTTCCTTACAATCAGTGGTAAACATTTTCTCGAAGACAACTGATTTCGAACTGAGAAGTAATTTTGAAGCAAAAAACTCTTTCTGGTCTTTGCCGACAACGAGTCGACAATCAGTAAACTCTTTGATACGAAACAATTGTCCGAAACGGCGATTATTTGTGGCAAAAGAAGCGTAAATATTGTTCATCTTTTGAACGGTTATATCGATACCAAATGTTAGTGTATTATCCATCAATAGTTGATCCTTATTGTCCAACAATTGTTTTCTTGTAATCAACGATAAGAAACTCCAATCCTTAATCTTTTCAAATGATTTTTCATTCATTTGTTTGACAAACAATTGGTTATTGTTATCAATAACAGACATTTCGTATTGTATTTTAATTGGCATTTCATTACTTGAAGACAATTGTAAGTACAGACCAATTGATTTATTTGTCCATTCAATACTACAATACCATTCATCTGATCCAATCATAAACTTATCGCTATTAATAGATTTCAAATCAGTCCAATTGGTGTCCAATTGTTTTGCAAAGTCCATGACTTTGAATACCACTCGTGTCTTATATACAACTTTGTTGTTGTTGTTATCCATTGTCGATGACATTATCAATGTGTTTGTCTGTTATGACACTTAATTGTTTGGACACACAATGACAATGTTGTTGTTGTTGTTGTTGTTGTTGTTGTTATAATCAAAACACGTATGAAATCATAATAACTATTCTAATAATAATAATAACATCATTAATAAAAAGCAATGCATTTTATGTTCAATCAATGTATTCATTCATTCAAACAAAATGTTAACATAATTTTTTTTAGACTGAAATTAATTTGTAATAAAAGTTTATTTATTAATTTTTATTGATTTGCAAAACATTATACAGTAATTAAAAAAAAATTAACATAATTTTAATATATATTAATATAGATATAATGATTACTATATATTAATATAGATATAATGATTACTATATATTAATATAGATATAATGATTACTATATATTAATATAGATATAACGATTAATATTTATATAATTTAAATCAAAAATAAATATAAACATTAGTTAAAAGTAATAATCAAATTATTTGCAATAACTATATGTATAATAAATGAGTTTTGTATCAGATTTTGGTAAATGTTTGTCAATATTATCAGTAATTTGTGTCACATTTACCGAATCAATGTCATGTGATTCAAAAAACTTATATAATATATATATATATAGAAATACAATATAAAAAATATATTTAGTTTTTTTGTAATTATAATAATTATTTTTATAAATTTATGTCATATTTTTCTTAATTAATAATTAATTAGTATTTGATAAAAACTGAAATAATATTTCCGACAATAGATTTTGGATAACTTTAATGGATATATATATATATACTATAATATATTAGTAAACAATTAATTGAGATAAAAGTATGTATAAAACATAACTTTTGTTGTAATTTCCGGCAAATGTTTAACTAAATTATACACAATTTGTGTCATATGTTTGGAATCGAAGCCATGTTTTTCAGTTAGATCTTTACTGATCACTGAAGTGATGTTTTCGCTGATAAACTGATTGACATTTTTCATGAGATCTTCATCGGCACCAAAATCTTTGAGTAGTTTATATGTTTTCAATGCATTTACTGAATTGATTCGCAAATAAATCAAATTAAGACATATAGTCTTCAGCGGTTCAATCGTATACTTATCGGACACATATAGTAGGTCTTCACACATATCGACCAACTTATCACACGTTTCGGTATAAATATATTGGAGAAACTGTTCGAAGACATCGCTGTCCACGTCATCGATGACCACTACATTAGTTGTCTTTTCCTTACAATCAGTGGTAAACATTTTCTCGAAGACATCTGATTGCGAACTGAGAAGCAGTTTTGAGGCGTAAAACACTTTCTTGTCTTTTCCTACAATCAGTCGACAATCAGTGAGCTCTTTGACTGAAAACAATTGTTTAAAACGACGATTCTTTGTGGCAAAAGAAGCGTAACTATTGTTCATCTTATGAACGGTTATATCGATACCAAATCTGAGTGTATTATCCATCAATAGTTTGTCCTTATTGTCCAACAATTGTTGTTTTGTAATCAACGATAAGTAAATCAATTCACTAATTTTTTCAAATGATTTTTCATTCATTTGTTTGACAAACAATTGGTTATTGTTATCAATGACAGAGATTTCGTATTGTATTTTAATTGGCATTTCATTACTTGAAGACAATTGTAAATATAGACCAATTGATTGATTTTTCCAATAAATAAGACAAATCCACTCATCTGATCCAATGGTGGTAAACTTTTCTTTATTTTTTGACACCCAATTGCAATTGGTGTCCAATTTATTTGCAATATCCATCACTTTGAACACCACTCGTGTCTTATATACAACTTTGTTGTTGTTATCCATTGTCGATGACATTATCAATGTGTTTGTCTGTTATGACTATTAATTGTTTGGATACACAATGACAATGTTGTTGTTGTTATAATCAATCAATCAATTGAAATATCAATTCAATCAACTCTACAAAAACATGTGTGAAATCATAACAACTATTATTAATAATAATAACATCATTAATAAAAAGCAATGCATTTTTTGTTCAATCAATGTATTTATTCAAACAAAACGTTAACATAAATTGAAACAAACTTTTTTAGATTGAAATTAATTTGTAATAAAAGTTTATTTATTAATTTTTATTGATTAGCAAAATATTATACAGTAATTATATATAAAAAACTGGGAAATTAAAAAAAATAATTAACATAATTTTAATATATATATTAATATAGATATAATAATTAATATATATATAATTTAAATCAAAATAAATACAAACATTTGTTAAAAGTAATAATCAAATTATTTGCAATAACTATAAGTATAACACATGAGTTTTGTATCAGATTTCGGTAAATGTTTATCAATATTATCAGTAATTTGTGTCACATTTACCGAATCGATGGCTAGTTTTTCGAAATATTCTTTAAGAACAACTGATGTTATGTTTTCACTGATAAAGTCGTTAACCCTTTTCATCAACACTTCATCGGCGCCGAAGTCTTGAAAGAGTTTCAATGTTTTCAAAGCATTGTTTGCATTGATTTTCAAGTAAATCAAATTCAAACAAATAGTCTTCAGCGACGATACCATATATTTGTCGGCAACGTATAGCAACTCATCAGTCATTTCACAGTCAGTCAGTCACACATTCCGGTTGAAAGATATTGAAGAAACTGTTCGAAGACATCGCTGTCGATGTCATCAATAATTACTTCATTATTTGTCTTTTCCATACAATCAGTGGTAAACATCTTCTCGAAAACTTCTGATTTAAAGGTGAGAGCAAACTTTGAGACAAAAAACTCTTTCTTAACTTTATTACCGACAATCAGATGACAATCATTTAACTCTTTTATATCAAATAGTTCAGCAAAACGAAGACAATTTGCGCCACAATTTTGGTTACAATTGTTGGTCTTATAAACCGTTATTTCAAAACCAATTGTTAGTATATTATCTGATAATAATATATCCTTATTGTCTATTAATTGTTGTTTTGTAATCAATGGTTGGTTACCCCAGCCCTCAATCGCTTCAAATGTTTTTTTGCTCCACTTTTTAACAAACAATTGGTTATTGTTGTCAATGACTGAAAAATCATATTGTGTTTCAATCGGTAGTTCATTACTTGCGTACAAATAAAAATACAGACCAAACTTTGCACTTTCGAGTTGAATATGACAATACCATTGATCATCTGATCCAATGTTAAACTTATCACTACTAATAACTGTCATATTTGTCCAATCGGTGTCCAATTGTTTTGCAAAGTCCATGACTTTGAATACCACTCGTGTCTTATATACAACTTTGTTGTTGTTATCCATTGTCGATGACATTATCAATGTGTTTGTCTGTTATGACACTTAATTGTGTGAACACAATGACAATATTGTTGTTATAATCAATCAATCAATTTAAATATAAATTCACTGATCTGTACAAAAACATGTGTGAAATCATAATAATTATATCATTAATAAAAAGCAATGCATTTATATTAATAATAATAATATTTTCAATCAATGATTAATTCATTCAAACAAAACGTTAACATAAATTGAAAAAAACTTTTTTAGATTGAAATTAATTTGTAATAAAAGTTTATTTATTAATTTTTATTGATTAGCAAAACATTATACAGTAATTAAAAAAAATAATTAAGATAATTTTAATATATATTAATATAGATATAATAATTACTATATATTAGAAAAACTTAAAAGTAATAATCAAATTATTTGCAATAACTATATGTATAATAAATGATTTTTTTATAAGATTTTGGTAAATGTTTATCAATATTATCAGTAATTTGTGTCACATTTACCGAATCAATGGATAGTATTTCGAAATATTCTTTAAGAACTGATCTGATGTTTTCACTGATAAAGCCGTTAAATGATTTAACTTATAATATATATATACAGTATATATATAGAAATACAATATAAAAAATATATTTAGTTTTTGTAATTATAAACATTATTTTTCTAAATTTGTGTCATATTTTTCTTAATTAATGATTAATTAATGTTTGATAAAAACTGAAACAATATTTCCGACAATAGATTTCGGACAACTTGTATGAATATATATACTTTAATATATTAGTAAACAATTAATTGAGATAAAAGTATGTATAAAACATAACTTTTGTTGTAATTGTCGGCAAATTTTTAACTAAATTATCCACAATTTGTGTCACATGTCTTGAATCGAAGCCATGTTTTTCAGTTAGATCTTTACTGATCACTGAAGTAATGTTTTCGTTGATAAACTGATTAACTTTTTTCATAAGATATTCATTGGCACCAAAATCTTTGAGTAATTTATATGTTTTCAATGCATTTACTGAATTGATTCGTATAAATATATTGGAGAAACTGTTCGAAGACATCGCTGTTCACGTCATCGATGACCACTTCGTTAGTTGTCTTTTCCTTGCAATCAGTGGTAAACATTTTCTCGAAGACCTCTGATTTCGAACTGAGAAGCAGTTTTGAGGCATAAAATTCTTTCTTGTCTTTGCCGACAATCAGTCGACAATCGGTGAGCTCTTTGACAGAAAACAATTGTTTGAATCGATGATTCTTTGTGGCAAAACTGCTATTATTCTTGTAAACCGTTATATCGATCCCAACTGTTAGTATGTTATCCATCAATAGTAGGTCCTTATTGTCCAACAATTGTTGTCTTGTAATAAATGATTGGAAACCCCAACCAATAATCTTTTCAAATATATAGTTAAGATCTCGTTTGCCATACAATTGGTTATTGATGTCAACGATAGACAATTTGTTTTGTGTTTCAACGGGTAGTTCATTACTTTTAAACAAATATAAATACAGACCAAACTTTTCACCATCGAGTATAATACGACAATACCATTCATCTGATCCAATGGTAAACTTATCGCTTTTAATTAGCTTCTTATTCATATAATTGGTATCCAATTGTTTTGCAAAGTCCATGACTTTGAACACCACTCGTGTCTTATATACAGCTATGTTATCCGTCGTCGATGACATCGATGTTGTTGTCGTTGAAGATGAGGTCTCGATATCACTTATTTCTGCAGACATACTGTTGTGTTAAACAATCAATTATAATTGAATACCAAATTCAATGATAATAATTAAACACTTATGAAATCAAAACTAATATCAATTGAATAATAATTTTAAAAAACAATTCAATCAATCATTAAAACAAAACTATAACTTAAAAAACCATTTATTAAATGCAATAATATTTTTATTCAATAACAACAAAATACTAATAAAGTCGTAATAATTATTATTATTATTATTAAATTTGATATAATATTGTTGTCTTAGAAATATTAATTATTAGATAAGCAGTCATACAATCATTCATTTATATATACAGTACAATGGGTAGAGACTTTAAGAACGTTCGCATTTGGATAATATTTTTTCTTATTGGTGGATGGGGGGGGGGGTTAACAGTTGGTGACATACGATATGTGAATCGCCTCTAAAAATATATATATATATAAATAGTATAATTTTTAATAAAATGTTTAATATAATAATTATAATTTTCATTAATCAACTAATTTTAGCAATAAAATCTAATTAAAAAAATTTACAAAAAGTAGTTTACAATAATTATTAGTAATTTTAATCATATTTTTTTTAAATAAAATTTTTTATAAAACCTACTGTAATAATTATAAAGCAATTAATTATCTATTAATTTTTAATAAAATGTACAATAATTATAATTTCCATTACGGGTAATCAATAAACTATTTTTAGCAATATATTAGTAAAAAATATAAGATAAAATCTAATTAAAAAAAATTTACAAAAAATAATTATTAGTAATTTAATCATATTTTTAAAAAAAATTAAATTTATTATAAAATAATCTTTATTTTCATTATTAATGTATACATACTTTAATATTAATAAAGCAATTAATTATTTATTAATTACCACTAATATAATTGTATGTATAAAACCAGGGTTAAGCAAGGTTTTGGATTTTAGGGGGGTAGACCGGGGTAAAATTTACAAAATTCTCAAAAAATCTTGGGGGGGTATTGGGTGGGGTAAGATTTTTATTGCATTTTTAAACGGCAATTTTTTCAAAAATCCAAAATCAAGGGGGGGGGTCTAGAGAAAATTCCCTAAAAATTCCTTAAGTTCCCGAATATTCCCATGTAAATTCAATAAAATTCCCACAAGTTCCCGTATAAATTCCCGGGAAAATAGGTAAAATTTCCAAAAATATAAAAAAAAACTTAAAAAACTTAAAAATTAACAAAAATTTAAATTTTAATAAAAAATAAATATTTTTTAAAAAATTTTTTTTAAATTAATAAAAACTTAAATTTTAACAAAAAAAATAAAATAATGTATTTAAGATTTAAAAATAGTTGATAAAAGCATTAATGATACACTATGAGTTATTTTTAGTATTTTAATAATTTTTAACTTTTAACATAATTAATTTTTGAAACAATACTTAATGTTTATAGTTTGTTATATATTTTTATTTTTATACAAATACTGACTGAATACTACTTATTTAACTCAAATTTCGTTAAAGTTTAATTATATTAAGTACAAAATTGAAAATATTTTTAAATTTTTTATTTAAAATTTAAAAATTATTAATAAAAACATAAGTATTTATTGTTTTATTAACTTCTTAAACTTATATTTAAATTGTAATATGATTACTCTTTTCAACAAATAGGTAATTTTTAATTTTTTAGTTTATTTTAATTAAAATAATGTTATTTTTTGAAGACTTTTAACGTTATTTTAACTATTTTTAATCAATAATTAGATTTTTATAAATATTAAAAACATAAAAACACTTACTAAAATAGTATCAACTAAAATTAAAATTTTTATAAATTTCAAAAAAATTTTCGGCGCTTTCGGCGCCGAAATTTTAGGGGGGGGTCATTTCTCCTCGTTTTTAAGCGACAATTTTTTCAATTTGGTCAAAAAGTCTGGGGGGTAAAATCCCAATTTCTCGATCTTAGGGGGGGTATTTTGGCCTTACCCCCCCCTACCCCCCCCTTACTTAACCCTGGTATAAAACATAAGTTTTGTGTTAACTTTTGGCAAATGTTTATCAAAATGACAGACAATTTTTGACACTTCTTCCGTATCGATATCATACTTATCGGTAAACTCTTTACTGATCACTAAAGTAATGTTTTCACCGATAAATTGGTTGACTTTATTCATTAGTTCTTCATCGGCTCCAAAGTCTTTCAAAGTTTTCCTGATTTCGAAAGCATTGTTGCAATTGATCCGCAAATAAACCAAATTAAGACATATAGTCTTCAGCGGTTCAATCATATACTTGTCGGCAACATATAGCAGATCTTCACACATATCGACCAATTTATCACACATTTCGGTATAAATATATTTGAGAAACTGTTCGAAGACATCGCTGTCGATGTCATCGATGATCACTTCATTAGTTGTCTTTTCTTTGCAATCATTGGTAAACATTTTCTCGAAGACCTCTGATTTCAAACTGATTTCAAACTTCGAAACAAAAAACTCTTTCTTGTCTTTATTGCCGACAATTTACAGTTCATTACTTGCGGACAATTTTAAATACAGACCAAAAATTCCACCTTCGAGTTCAATATGACAATACCATTGATCATCTGATCCAATGTTAAACTTATCACTAGTAATAACTGTCATATTTGTCCAATCGGTGTCCAATTGTTTTGCAAAGTCCATGACTTTGAATACCACTCGTGTCTTATATACAACTTTGTTGTTGATGTTGTTATCCATTGTCGATGACATTATCAATGTGTTTGTCTGTTATGACACTTAATTGTTTGGACACACAATGACAATGTTGTTGTTATAATCAATCAATCAATTGAAATATCAATTCAATGATTTGTACAAAAACATGTGTAAAATCCTAATAACTATTATAATAAATTACTAATCATTAATAAAAAGCAATGGATTTTATGTTCAATCAATGTATTCATTCAAACAAAACGTTAATATAAATATTCACAAACTTTTTTTAGATTGAAATTAATTTGTAATAAAAGTTTATTTATTAATTTTTATTGATAAGCAAAATATAATAAAGTAATTTTAAAAAATTGGGAAATTAAAAAAATAATTAACATAATTTTAATATATATATAATTTAAATCAAAATAAATACAAACTTTTGTTAAAAGTAATAATCAAATTATTTGCAATAACTATATGTATAATACATTAGTTTTGTATCAGATTTCGGTAAATGTTTGTCAATATTATCAGTAATTTGTGTCACATTTACCGAATCAATGGCTAGTTTTTCGAAATACTCTTTAAGAACAACTGATGTTATGTTTTCACTGATAAAGTCGTTAACCTTTTTCATCAACACTTCATCGGCGCCGAAGTCTTGAAAGAGTTTCAATGTTTTCAAAGCATTGTTTGCATTGATTTTCAAGTAAATCAAATTCAGACAAATAGTCTTCAGCGACGATACCATATATTTGTCGGCAACGTATAGCAACTCATCAGTCATTTCATCCAATTTATCACACATTCCGGTTGAAAGATACTGAAGAAACTGTTCGAAGACATCGCTGTCGATGTCATCGATAATTACTTCATTATTTGTCTTCTCCTTACAATCGGTGGTAAACATCTTCTCGAATACTTCTGATTTAAAGCTGAGAGCAAACTTTGAGACAAAAAACTTTTTCTTGTCTTTATTACCGACAATCAGATGACAATCATTGAACTCTTTTATATCAAATAGTTCAGCAAAACGAAGACAATTTGCGCCACAATTTTGGTTACAATTGTTTTTCTTGTAAACCGTTATATCGAAACCAATTGTTAGTATGTTATCCGGCAATAGTAGGTCCTTATTGTCCTTAAATTGTTGTTTTGTAATAAATGATGTGAAACCCCAGCCATTAATCACTTCAAATGTTTTATTTATTTTCCTTTTAACAATTAATTGGTTATTGTTGTCAATGATGAACATTGCGTAATGTGTCTGAACAGGTATTTTATTGTTTTCATCAAATTGTAAGTATAGTTCAAAATTGTCATTTTGGAAATTAACATTTACAGACCATTTATCTGATCCAATGACAAATATATTGCTAACAATAGCTTCAGTCCAATTGGTGTCCAATTTATTTACAATATCCATCACTTTGAACACCACTCGTGTCTTATATACCGCTATGTTATCCATCGTCGTCGATGATATCGATATTGTCGTTGATGTTGAGGTCTGTATATCACTTGTTTCTGCATACATACTGTTATAACAAATCAGTGAATTAATTGAATATTAAAATTCAACGATAAAACAATATAATAATAAATTTTAATAAATTTTATATCAATTATGTCAACAAAAAAAAACTATGAATTCAATCATTCATTCAAACAAAACGTTAACTTAATATTAAAAAAACAAACATTTATTAAAGTAATCAATAATTTGCTAATTAATGTAACGGTAATTACAGATAATTTAATGTAATTTATATAATATTTTTTTACAATATACTAGGTTTTGATTATGAAAATTTGTTATTATTATTATTAGATCATTAAACAAAAAACTAAACCATTTAATTATTTTTCCATTTACTAGTAAAACAAGTAATTAACATAAATTAAATAACATTTATTTTTTGAAATGTTTTAAAAGTTTGCTAATTAATATAAATTTTATATACAGTAATACAATATTACGGTAAATAAAAAAAATTAATATTGTAAAACATATTTAATTTTTTATGAATTTTATTTATTAGCTTATACTATATTATATATTATTTATAGCATATAAACATTTTTTACTATTTTAATTGTATTTTACTTTTTTAAAAAGTTTTTCACTAAATGAATGAAAATTTATATAAAAAAAATTATTTCCTACAACTATATGTATAATACATAAGTTTTGTATCAGATTTCGGTAAATGTTTGTCAATAATGTCAGTAATTTGTGTCACATTTACCGAATCGATGGCTAGTTTTTCGAAAAACTCTTTAAGAACTACTGATTTGATGTTTTCGCCGATAAATTCGTTCAGTTTTTTCATCAACACTTCGTCGGCACCGAAGTCTTGAAAGAGTTTCAATGTTTTCAGTGCATTGTTTGTATTGATTCGCATGAAAATCAAATTCAAACAAATAGTCTTCAGCGACGATACCATATATTTGTCGGAAACGTATAGCAATTCATCAGTCATTTCATCTAATTTGTCACACATTCCGCTGGAAAGATACTGAAGAAATTGTTCGAAGACATCGCTGTCCACGTCATCGATAATCACTTCGTTGTTCATCTTTTCCATACAATCGGTGGTAAACATCTTCTCGAATACTTCTGATTCCAAACTGAGAGCAAACTTCGAGACGAAAAACTCTTTCTTGTCTTTGCCGACAATCAGTCGACAATCGTTGAACTCTTTTATGGCAAACAATTGTCCGAAACGATCATATTTTGAACCATAATTTCGGTGATAATTGTCTTTCTTGTAGACAGTTATGTCTAAACCAAAACTGAGTGTATTATCCATCAATAGTCTGTCCTTATTGTCCATCAATTGTTGTCTTGTAATCAGTGATGTTTCACCCCAACCAATAAAATCTTTGAAAGTATAGACAAACTTTTTTTCGGTAAACAACTGGTTATTATTGTCGATAACAGACAATCGGTATTGTGTTTGAACGGGTAGTTCATTACTAGCGGACAAACATAAAAACAGACCAATCGATTCGTTTAATGTCTGTAAACGACAATACCATTCATCGTCGTCGTCATCGCAGGTATTATCTGATCCAATGTTAAACCTAATACTTTGTATATCAATATATTTTTCATCAGTTGTCCCATTGATGTCCAATTGTCTCCCGATGTCTATAACTTTGAATATCACTCGTGTCTTATAAACAATTTTGTTGTTGTTGTCCATTGCCGATGATATCAACGGATCTGTTATATCAGTTGATTGTATGGACAGTATTGTTGTTGTAATCAATCAATTAAATTGAATGTAGACTTCAATGACATAACAAAAAAGTTTTTTTTTACTTATTTATTGTTGTCATCAATAATATTGTAATAAAAATCAATGCAATCAATCAATCAGTCATTCAAACAAAACGTTAGCATAAATTGAAACAAAAATTTTATTCAATATTGCAATAAATTATAATAATATTTTTGATAATTATTCAATTATTTATTTTTACTAAATATAAGGTTTTTAAAGGTTTTAAAAAATCTAGTTTTTTTTAATTAATATTAATTAATTATTTAATAATAACAAATTAATACAATGATAATAATCAATAACACAATCATATGATTTAAATAATAATTATTTTTTTTGTTATATAATATAATTACGGTAATTAATTATTATAACTATATGTATATATAATACATAAGTTTTGTATAAAATTACGGTAAATGTTTTTTTTTAAAGTTTTATAATGAAAAATAATACAGCTAATATATTAATAATTGAAAACAAAAAAAAATAGTTACGGTACAATACAAAAATACTAATATGTATTAATTACTAGTTAAGCAAAATATTATAATAATATATTAAATAATAATAATAATAATAATAGAGATTAATTTTACATATAGACAATAATTTTTTAATAAAATATATACTATATATATATATATATATATATAATGTTATTCATACAAATCAATATTATTAATTTCAATCATTTAAAAAAAAATTATTTTCGTAATTACCTGTAATAGTGTTTCAAACATTAATTAAGTATTAATCTATTAATTAATGTATTCGTATGTATAAAACATAAGTTTTGTGTTAACTTTTGGCAAATGTTTATCAAAATGACAGACAATTTGTGGCACTTCTTCCGGATCGATGCCATACATATCGATAAACTCTTTACTGATAACTGAAGTAATGTTTTCACCGATATATTGATTGACTTTTTTCATCAGTTCTTCATCGGCTCCAAAGTCTTTCAAAGTTTTCCTAATTTCTAAAGCATTGTTGCAATTGATCCGCAAATATAGCAAATTAAGACATATAGTCTTCAACGGTTCAATCATATACTTGTCGGACACATATAGCAGATCTTTACACATATCGACCAACTTATCGCAGGTATTAGTATAAAGATATTTAAGGAACTGTTCGAAGACATCGCTGTCCACGTCATCGATGATCACTTCATTGTCTGACTTTTCTTTGCAATCATTGGTAAACATTTTCTCGAAGACAACTGATTTCAAACTGAGAACAAACTTCGAAACAAAAAACTCTTTCTTATCTTTGTCGACAATCAGTCGACAATCGGTAAGTTCTTTGACACCAAACAATTGTGCGAAACGACGTTTTGAGACACAGTTTTGGTGATTATTGTTTTTCTTGTGAACCGTAAGATCGATACAAATAGTAAGTGTGTTATTATCTAATAGACTGACTTTATTATCAATCAATTGTTGTTTTGTGGTAAATGTTGGCCAACCATAACCATTAATCTTTTCAAATACATAGTTAGTATCTTTATATTCATACAATTGATTATTATATTCAATGATATACAACTCGTATTGTGTTTCAACCGGCAAATCACTGCTTGCGGACAAATGTAAATACAGACCAAACTTTTCACCATCGAGTTTAATACTACAATACCATTCATCTGATCCAATACTAAATTTATCACTATTAATATATTTAACTTCAGTCCAATTGGCGTCCAATCGCTTCGCAAAGTTCATCACTTTGAATACCACACGAGTCTTGTGTACGATAACTCTGTTGTCGACATCATCCGTGGCATCAATTGATCTCTTCATTGTTGTTGATGTCATTTTATTGTGATATCAATCAATCAATTACTTCAAATAAAAATATTGGATTTAATTTAATAAATTATTGAAATAAACTGTTCATAACATGTGTCTCAAGTATTACAACAAAATCATGCAATACTTTTGTATTGTCATTCAATTCATATAAAACAATCAATCGACTAAACAATTTAAAGCAAAAACAAAAAAAATCATTTAAAATACTGTTATATTGATTTTTAATTTTTGTTTATTAATATAACTTTTTGTAAAAAAGTGCAAATCAATTGAAACATTGACACCATTTATGCCAAACTGTTTGATGATTAAAACGACAACAACTGAATTAAATGATGAAATTAATCTAAAAATATTAGTAATAATACTAATTATTTTGCTATTCATTGGTTTAGTATTTATTGTCATTGATTTAGTATTGATCCGTAAATAACATCGACAACAAACACAACAATTGTTGAAAATTCAATTAGAAATATATGTTATAAATCATCAAAATTATAGATATAGTAAAATAAATACAGTATATAGATAATTTTTTCATTTATAATTCAATAAATTATTTTTCATTTATTTATTCAAATTTATTTGTTTTGTTTTTCAATTAAATCTATTGCTGTAAACAAACTTTTTTTTTTAATTAACTAAATTTATTACAATAATACGTATAACAGTATATATTAGACACATTTGATTAGACAATGGTTTACAATTAGAGCAGCCCTGAAGCTAACAATTTTTTAAATATAAGATATCATTAAAATTGATATAAAAAATCTGAAACAAAAATTATTAACTTAAAATCGTTAATTTAAATGACAATAAATCTGACAATTAAAAAATTATCAAAAAAATATTAATTATTTATTATTAAAAATATTAAGTATTATTTAAGTATAAGTACTTTAAATTTGGTTTACTGTCATTGACTGTGATTAGTATTAATCAAAACAAAAAAAAAGATACCAATAAAAAAAATAATGATTTAAATCGCACAGTATTTCATTGAAAAACTAATCATTTGATTTAAAACCCGAAATTGAAGTCAATGTAAAAATATCTTATTATTTATTTTATTATCAATTATATTGTGATAATAATCTGATTATAATTGATTTATTTATAAATTTAAAAAATTAATAATTGTTTCTCAACTAATCTATAGGTTTTTATGAAAAAAACAAATAATATTAACTGTATATTATTAGTTAATTTAAAGCAGTAAATATATGGCATTTATTTTGTACGTCGATATAAATTAAAGTCGATTATATATTAATTAGATGTTAATAATAATTATTAATTAATAAAAAATATTTAATTAAATATTAGTTAATTAGACGAAATTAATTTTATAATTAACGCACGTTTTAAACAATAAAAACTATTGCATGAAATATAAATATTTTAGACATTTAACTAAATAATTAAAAACATATAATTATAATAATATTCAATTAATTCATTATATATATATTTTTTAAAGTTTAATTAACTTAAATATTTATTAAGATATTCATTTAAGTGTTGAAAATTACAATATGTATTACAATAATAACAACTATTCTTGTAATCGTTTACAAAGTTTGTGGTCATCGTTATCATCATCGGTGGTCAGCATATGGTTAATGATGATAATAATAACACTGTTGTTGTTGTCGATGACAGTCGTCATAATCACTGGTGATGTCGTAAGCAATGGTAACGACAACAACATCGACAATGTGTGTCAATTGTTGGCACCAAACGGCCGATTCAATAGCTATTATGTCTATAGACAGTGGTATCAGTCGGGCTATGCATGGGATAACCAAAAATCATTATTAAAATTAATATCAACTATAAATGTTAGTACAATAGTTGAATGGACAGTCAGTTTGAATTATAACATTGAAAACTACCAAAAAATCATTAGTAACTTATCTATAATTGATAGTACAATACATTATATTATACAAAATAGTAATATTAAATCATATGTTTCGGGTCTTATTAAACGATCAAAATTTAATAAAGATATCTGTAATTGTTATATAAAACCGATGGTAAGTAAACCTAATTGATTGAATTTTTTTTGATTAAAAATTTAATATAAATATTTAGATTAATTAACATAATAATAATAATTATTATATTTGTTTATTTGATCAGAAAAATTTTATAGAAAATTATTGTCAATCAGGAACTTCCCATACAATTATTAAAATTAGTAATACATTAGATAATAATAATTTTCCCGATAATAAAAATCTTATATTTAAGCCCTGGGTCTATGAGAACGACACTTATTTATGGTTTAATTATTGGGTGTATAGTCTAACCACTAGATATGCCCATCCGATCAAATGTAAACTAAAATTCAATAGATTTGATACTTATCCGACAATTGTATGCATTGAAGACCCGCTTCAGAGTCGACCCGATTTTATCATCGATCACTTAGACTATGAATTGTTGGGACAGTTGGTTGCGGTTACCGACACCGTTAGACATGAACTTTCTGGTAATTATTATATACTATGGTTTATGATCGACGGTAAGGCCATGTATTGTTTGTCATCAATAAATGTATTATCAGTTGAGGTATTTATAATTGTATTATTATTATTATTATATTTTAATTTTTAAAATATATAAATATATAGTACAGTATAGTTAAATAACTAATTAGTGTTATATTAATTTTTATTTATTAATTTAACTTTTTTTGTAAAAAAGTGCAAATCAATTGAAACATTGATACCATTTATGCCAAACTGTTTGATGATTAAACCGAAAATAAATACAGAAATTAATCTAAAAATATTTGTAATAATACTAATTATTTTGCTATTCATTGGTTTAGTATTTATTGTCATTGACTTAGTATTGATTTGTAAAAAACATCGACAAACACAACAATTGTTGAAACCGTTTGGCACTTCAAATGAACCGATAATTAATAGCCGGGAATTGAATTCAATTAGAAATAGTAGTAATAAATCATCAACATTATAGATAATATTAAAATATAAATATTTTTATTTAAATTTATAAATCAATCAAAATTTTTTATTTATTTATTTATATTTTTTTGTTTTGTTTTTCAATAATTGATTATTAAATTATTAAATCTATTGCTGTAAACAAACATTTTTAATTAATTAAATTTATTACAATATTTTTGGTATTAATCTTGTATTGCATTTACTTTCATTGATTGTCATTATTAATTTCAATGATTTTTTTAAAAAAAAGTCAATTATTTTCATAATAACCTGTAATAGTGTTTCAAACATTAATTAAGTAATTAATTAATTAATGTATTCGTATGTATAAAACATTAACTTTTTGTTAACTTTTGGCAAATGTTTCTCAAAATTACCGATAATTTGTGAGACATTATCCGAATCCATGTCAAACGTATCGGTAAACTCTTTACTGATCACTGAAGTGATGTTTTTGCCAATAAATTGATTGACTTTTACCATCAGTTCTTTGTCGGCTCCAAAGTCTTTCAATGTTTTACTGATATCTAAAGCATTGCTGAAATTGATTCGCAAATAAACCAAATTAAGACATATAGTCTTCAGCGGTTCAATCATATACTTGTCGGCAACATATAGCAGATCTTCACACATATCGACCAACTTATCACAGCTATCAGTGTATAGATATTTAATGAACTGTTCGAAGACATCGCTGTCCACGTCATCGATGATCACTTCATTATTTGTCTTTTCTTTGCAATCAGTGGTAAACATCTTCTCGAAGACAACTGATTTCAAACTGAGAACAAACTTCGAAACAAAAAACTCTTTCTTATCTTTGCCGACAATCAGTCGACAATCTGTAAGTTCTTTGACACCAAACAATTGTGCGAAACGACGTTTTGAGACACAGTTTTGGTGATTATTGTTTTTCTTGTGAACCGTAAGATCGATACAAATAGTAAGTGTGTTGTTATCCAATAGACTGACTTTATTGTCAATCAATTGTTGTTTTGTGATAAATAATATCCAACCATAACCACTAATCTTTTCAAATACATAGTTAATCTCATTATTGTTATACAATTGATTATTGTCGTCAATGATAGACATCGAGTATTGTGTTTTAACTGGCATCTCATTACTTTTAGACAAATTTAAATACAGACCAAACTTTTCACCATCGAGTTTAATACTACAATACCATTCATCTGATCCAATACTAAATTTATCACTATTAATATATTTAACTTCAGTCCAATTGGCGTCCAATCGCTTCGCAAAGTTCATCACTTTGAATACCACACGAGTCTTGTGTACGATAACTCTGTTGTCGACATCATCCGTGGCATCAATTGATCTATTCATTGTTGTTGCTATTGTTGATGATGTCATTATTGTATCCAAACAATCAGTCAATTAAATTAAATTTATCTCTTTTTATTGTGATATCAATCAATTCAAATGAAAATGAAATGAAATGATTTCAAACTCAGGACAAACTTCGAAACAAAAAACTCTTTCTTGTCTTTATTGCCGACAATCAGTCGACAATCGGTAAGTTCTTTGATACCAAACAATTGTGCGAAACGACGACGTTTTGAGCCACAGTTTTGGTGATTATTGTTTTTCTTGCGAACCGTTAGATCGATACCAATAGTAAGTGTTTTGTTATCCAATAGACTGTCTTTATTATCAATCAATTGTTGTTTTGTTGTAAATGATGGACAACCATAACCACTAATTTTTTCAAATACATAGTTAATCTCATTATTGTCATACAATTGATTATTGTTGTCAATGATAGACAACTGGTATTGTGTTTCAACCGGGAAATCACTGCTTGCGGACAAATGTAAATACAGACCAATCTCTTCACCATTGAGTTCAATACAACAATACCATTCATCTGATCCAATGATAAAATTATTACTATAAATACATTCAATTTCAGTCCAATTGATGTCCAATCGCTTCGCAAAGTCCATCACTTTGAATACCACACGAGTCTTGTGTACGACAACTCTGTTGTCGTCATCATCTGTGGCATCAATTGATCTCTTCATTGTTGTTGATGTCATTATTTTATTGTGATATCAATCAATCAATTTAATAAATTATTGAAATAAAAACTTTTCATAACAAGTGTCCCAATAATTATAACAGTATTACAACAAAATCATGCAATACTTTTGTGTTGCAAATCAATTCATATAAAACAATGCAATCAATCGACTAAACAATTTAAATCAACAAAAAATCATTTAAAAGATTAACATAAATTACAAACATTTCAATAGTTATAAAATTAATTTTTTTTTTCATACATAAAATTGTATATTTTTACAATTTAGTAAAAAAAAACTATATATTTAATTAATTTATTTTTAGATTATTAGATTATATATTAGTATATTAAGTATAAGTAGTAATAGAAATTGTTTAACAATTAGAAATGATTTAAGATTATATAAAATTTAAAAAACTTATACAAAAAAAATTTAATATATCACTCATTATTAATATAAACATATTGATAATTGTCTAGTAATCTAAAAAATTTTGATTAAACTGCAATCAAATAACTAAACCATTTTTAAGCTAAAAACTAAATTAAATAATTACAAACTTTTTAATTAAAAAAATAATTGATAATGTTTTCTATGTTTGTATTTTAAGAAAACTAATTATAATTATTTAGTTATATTAATATTAACTAGTTTGTCCCGAGCAACATGTATAGCCGTGCAATTCTTTTACTAATTTAAAAATATTTACTATAAGTAATTTGAATGAGACTTAATTTGTTTATACAACTACTACATAACCTAATGTAACAAAACTACTGAACCAATACACATTAATTCGACTAAACTTTTGAGAAATTTTAGTTTTTATATATATTTAAATAATTTTAATAAAAATTGAAAATTTAATTTTTGCGAAAAAAAATTTGCATTTGAAAAAAATTTACTGAAATTTAACACATGTAGCTAACATGTGCCATAAACTCACACAATATAGCAAAGTGTAATTACACGACACACCAGCCTACCTGTCCCTAAAACCTACCTGAGCTCAACAAAAATTTAAAATTTCCCATAGAAATAACATTACTTTAAATAAAAATTGAAAATTTTAACACAAATTGAAAATTTTTGCATTTGAGAAAATTTTGCAAAAATTTAGCACAGGTAGCTTACCTCCCGGTGCCCTGTAACTCATATAATATAGCAAAGTGTAATTACACGACACCAGCCTACCTGTCCCTAAAACCTACCTGAGCTCATTAATCATTTAAAATTTCCCATAGAAATAATATTGCTTTAAATTAAAATTGAAAATATAACAATATATTTTTAGCTTTGAATTAAAAAATGGTTGTTGAGGAAGTGTGCACACATACAAACAAACAAACAAACAAACAAACAAACAAACAAACAAACAAACAAACAAACAAACAAACAAACAAACAGACAAAACTATTATATTAAAGTTATTAGGATATTATAATTAAACTAAATGTTATAACTATAGGTATAATACATAAGTTTTGTATCAATTTTTGGCAAAAATTTGTCAAAATTATTGACAATTTGTGTCATAATTACTGAATCGATGGCATATTTTTCGGTAAACTCTTTAGAGACCATTGATGTAATGTTTTCACCGATAAAGTCGATAACCTTTTTCATCAGTACCTCATCGGCAGCAAAATCTTTGAAGAGTTTCAATGTTTTCATTGCATTGTTTGTATTGATTCGCAGATAAATCCAATTAAGACATAATGTCTTCAGCGACGACACCATAAACTTGTTGGCGACGTATAGAAGTTGTTCAGTCATTTCATCCAATTTGTCACACATTCCGGTTGAAAGATATTTCAAGAACTGGTCGAAGACATCGCTGTCGATGTCATCGATGATTACTTTATTCTTCTTCTTGTATTCAGTTGTAAACATTTTCTCGAAAACATCTGATTTCAAACTGAGAGCAAATTTTGAGGCAAAGAAGTTAGTCTTATCTTTGCCGACAATCAGATAACAATCATCAAACTCTTGCTTAGAAAACAATTGTTCAAAACGACGACGTTTTGCGCCACAACTTTCTGGACAATTGTTTGTTTTGTTTACCGTTATGTCGACACCAATGGTCAGTGTGTTATTCAGCAACAGTATGTCCTTATTGGCTAACAATTGTTGTCTTGTGATAATTGATCGAAAACAATAACCACTAATCTTATCAAATGTATGTTTAAAATCTTTTATGGCAAACAATTGGTTAGTATTGTCATCAATGATGGACACCGAGTATTGTGTTTCAACCGGTAGTTCATTGCTTTGAACCAAATGTAAGTATAGTTTAATTTCTTCATTTACTAAGCAAACATCAATAAGCCATTCATCTGATCCAATGATAAATCTATCGCTAGTAATGTATTTCTCTTCAGTCCAATCGGTGTCCAAATAGTTTGAAAAGTCTATAACTTTGAATACTACACGAGTCTTGTAAACGACTTTGTTGTGGTGGTTGTTGTCATCATCGATGGTGGGGTTCAATGATTTCTTCATTGTTTGTGTTGTTGTTGTTGTTTTTGATGTCATTTTGATTGTTTTGTTTGCAATCTATAAAAAAAGTTAATTAAAAAAATAAAATAAATAAATATCCGTTTAAATGAAATTAACTGTTTGTGTAAAACTTGTTGTGTTTTAATACATTAGATAAATAAAAAAAATACAATACATTTGTCATAATTACCGAATCGATGGCATATTTTTCGGTAAACTCTTTAACGACCAGTGATGTAATGTTTTCACCGATAAAGTCGATCACATCAGTCATCAACACCTTATCGGCGCCGAAGTCTTGAAAGAGTTTCAACGTTTTCATTGCATTGTTTGTATTAATTTGCAGAAAAATCCGATTAAAACACAAAGTCTTCAGCGACGACACCATAAACTTGTTGGCGACGTAAAGCAATTGTTCAGTCATTTCATCCAATTTGTCACACTTTCCGGTTGAAAGATATTTCAAGAACTGTTCGAAGACTTCGCTATCGATGTCATCGATGATTATTTCAGTAGTTTTCTTATTGTTGTATTCAGTTGTAAAGGTCTTCTCGAAGACTAATGACTGCAAACTGAGTGCAAACTTCGACGCGAAGAACTTAGTCTTATCTTTGCCGACAATCAGACAGCAATCGTCAAACTCTTGTTTAGAAAACAATTGATCAAAACGACGGCGTTTTGCGACACAATTTTCGGGACAATTGTTTGTTTTGTTTACCGTTATGTCGACAACAATGGTAAGTGTGTTGTCCGGCAATAGTTTTTGTTTATTGTCCATCAATTGTTGTCTAGTGATAATTGATCGAAAACCGTGACCACTAATCTTAACAAATGTATTTTTAATATCTCTTTTGCCAAACAATTGGTTATTGTTGTCAATGATGGACATCGAGTATTGTATATCAATCGGTAGTTCATTGGTTTCATTCAAATGTATGTAAAGTCCAATGTCTTCATTGTTCAGTACAACAATTATATACCATTTATCTGATCCAATCTGGAATTTATCGCTACGAATAAATATCTCTTCCGTCCAATTGGTGTCCAATTGTTTTGCAATTTCAATCGTCCAATAGTGTATAAAATCCATAACTTTGAATATCACTCGTTTCTTGTATACGATTTTATTGTTATCATCAACTGTTGTCGTGTCCAATGATCTCTTCATTGTTGTTGTTGATGATGATGTCATAATTGTGTCCAAAAAAATGTTTGTATAAACAGATTAATTACAAACAATTATTATTATTTTTTTGTGGCAATACTATTGTCTAACAATTTTGACTATTAATTAACAAAAAATTTTACAGTTAAGCAAAAAATATATCATATAATATATATATATAGAGTATATATATATAAAAGTTAACATAAATTGAAAAACTTTTCAATAGATATAATTTTTGTTAAAAACGCAAATTATATAATAAAAAATTTGTTTTTTTTATAAAAAATATTTCTATTTAATGAAAAACCAAATCACTAATAATAATAAGTAAAATAATAATTGCAAAATATTTTTATAAAATAAAATAAATATTTTATTACTTTTATAGACAGTATTATTTATATAACTTTTAAATAAATACACAATTATTTGCACACTGTATTAATATTGTATAAATAATTGTAATACAAATTATAATATAACAGTAGATCCTTATTATAATCATATAAACAGATAAATAAGTAATTTTTTTTAATAAGTAAGTTATAGCTATATAAATGAAATTGATTTATAATAAAATCATGCAATACTTAAAAAATAACATAAATTACTATACTTTTCAAATAGATATAAAAATGTAATTATTATAAATTTTAATTAATATTTATGTTTAATTTATTTAAAAATTTTTATATAAATTATATATTTTAATAATCAAATTTATGATAAACAAAAAAAATTTTTATTATAAATATTAATCAGACAATTATAGTATGAAATTTAATAATATAATTTGTTATTAGAAAAATTAATTTCCATATATTTATTTTTTAAAAAATAAATATTATATCAATAATTTTAATTACCGTAATATTATTACAAATATTTAATAATCAAATAAAAATTAAATATTATAACTATATGTATAATACATAAGTTTTGTTTCAGATTTTGGTATATGTTTGACAACACTGTCGGTAATTTGTGTCACATTTACCGAATCAATGGCTAGTTTTTCGAAATACTCTTTAAATATCATTGATGTCATGTTTTCGCCGATAAAGTCGTTAACCTTTTTCATCAACACTTCGTCGGCACCGAAGTCTTGAAAGAGTTTCAATGTTTTCAGTGCATTGTTTGTATTGATTCGCATGAAAATCAAATTAAGACAAATAGTCTTCAGTGACGATACCATATATTTGTCGGCAATGTATAGCAACTCATCAGTCATTTCATCTAATTTGTCACACATTCCGCTGGAAAGATACTGAAGAAACTGTTCGAAGACATTGCTGTCCACGTCATCGATAATCACTTCATTAGTATTCTTCTCATTGCAATCAGTGGTAAACATCTTCTCGAAGACTTCTGATTCCAAACTGAGTGCAAACTTCGAGACAGAAAACTCTTTCTTATCATTATTACCGACAATCAGACGACAAGTACTGAACTCTTTCATTGAAAACAATTGTGCAAAACGAAGATATTTTGCGCCACAATTTTGGTGACTATTGTTTCTCTTGTAGACAGTTATGTCTAAACCAATGGTAAGTGTGTTATCCATCAATAGTAGGTCCTTATTGTCCATTAATTGTTGTTTTCTGAACTTTGTTACTAAATTATAATCATTATTAAAAAACTTTTGTTCAATTAATCTTTTGTCAAACAATTGGTTATTGTTGTCAATGATGTATATCTGGTATTGTATTTCAATTGGTAGTCCATTATTATCAGACAATATTAAATATAGACAAACATAGTTAAAATTCCACTGAATTTTACAATACCATTCATCCACTGATCCAATCATAAACTTATTGCTATCAATAGTTTTTTTATTCATCCAATCGGTGTCCAAATGTTTTGCAAAGTCCATGACTTTGAACACCACTCGTGTCTTATATACTACTTTGTTGTTAACCATTGCCTATGATATCGATTGATATATTGGTCTATATATCTTTATATATCAGTTGAATGTGTAAATTAATATAAATTTAATTGAATACTAATTCAATGAACAACACAAAAAACATATGTACTGTTAAATCATATGTACTGTAAGCAGGGTTTTAAGAAAATAAATTATAACTAATAATATAAAATTAAAATAATAGGTGTCACCACATGAAAATAGATGCCCAGGGCATGGCATGGCAGAGGCAGGGCAGGCATTTGGCAAAATTGGCATCTATTGTTTATGCATGCCATTTTTAAATTTAATTTATTTTAATTATTTATTACAATAAATTATTTTTTTTAATTAATAATAATAACAATAAATACATTAATAAATTAATTATAGTTAAAATTATCAACTGCTTTATAAAAAAAAAGTATATCGTTTTGTTTATAAAAAATACTAAAATATTTAAGTTTTATAAAAGTTAAAAAAAAACTATTATAATAATGATTGTTATTTTAATATATATAAATATAGTAAATTAAATTATCAATTTAAAAAAAATAAACTTAATTAACTGTTTCATATTAACATAAAATATATTAAAAGTATTTTCATATCAAATATAATATATTTAATTACATTTTTTTAACAATTTTTTTATTAGATTAGTTATTGTAATAAAATATATATATATAATTTTAACAAAAATTCTGATAAAAATTTGATATTTTAATAAATATATATATATATTTCAAATTTCAATAATTTTTTCATAATTGTATTTTAATATTATTACACAAAAAAAATTATTAGTATAATTATTATTATTATTATTAGTTTTAGTAAATTATTAAAAAAAAATTTTATATAAAATTATAGTTAAATTTAAAAATAAAAAATTCCCCAAATGTTTATAATATCAATATTTTTGTTGTTGTTGTTGTGTTTCTACAACACAAATGTCTGGTCCATTGATATCGTTGACTATCCAAACATAACTGTCCCCGAGTGTGGTATCGGACGCCAATCATTGCTGGCAAACGGCAAATGTTTTCAATGGTTATCACAATCAAGTCTAACACCCAGTGAACTGAATAATGGACGCATTGCCGGACCGGGAGAAGTGCCGTTTGCCGTATGGATTGTCTACAGGGAGTAAATAAACAAAAACAAAAATTTTTATTAATTTTTTAATTTATTAAAAAAAAAGATAAATTACATAACTATATTGATGTCTTAAAAAACATAATTTTCCAAACAAAAAAAAATAATTAAAAAATTAAAATTTAATTTACCAGTGGATTCATTGTTAGTCACGGATCGGGTGTCATATTAAACAAACGGTGGATATTAACAGCCGCTCACGTAATATAGTAAATAAAAAAAAATTTTTAAAAAATCTAACACTGTATATATATATATATATATTCATAATAAAGTGTTAAATTTTAAAAAATAAAACTAAGTGTCTATATTAATATTTTAAAATTAATTTTGTAATAAATATAGATTATAAAATTTAAAAACTATAAATAATAAGACAAATATGAATTTAGAAAAATTAAAAATATATATATATTCTTTATTATTAATAATAATAATACATATTTAATAATATGATTTAAATTATAGTGATTTTGCTATTAGTGATGTAAAAATCTACCCGGGCAAATTGTTTATCGACGACAATGATTATGAAAATGGTTATAATATTGAGAAAACAGTTATCCATTACATGTATCCCAGGAGACGACTCTCGGCTTACGATATGGCACTCATCAAACTTACAGCTGACTTACCGCTTAGCAGCCAACTGTCCACTAATGGTCATAACTATCGGACACTATTGAACGGTATATGTTTGCCACCGTTGGATGCACTCAATAGCGAGGATGAGTTCGCACTGATGGCCGGTTATGGTTATGTAAACAGGGATGAGAAAAGTGATAGACTTAAAATTGGTTACATTAGGATTAAAAAGACTTATAATAATGCCAGTGATTATTGGCGTATGATTATACTCGGGGAACGGTATCCATCATATAACGGAACATTTTCATGTTCGGTATGTATGTATGTGTATGTATGTGTATATATGATGTGCTATTTCTCCTACACATTACTATTACACAATTACTCCTATTTTTATCAATCTATACCTAATTAGGGTGATTCTGGTGGCCCATTGTATCAGTATGTAAACGGTAGGGCCGTATTGATTGGCATAACTCATGGCCGCAGTGGTAGGAATCACAAGTGCGATAAAATCAATGACGGGGTTTACGGTATGTTTGTAAGAATATCATGGTTTGTCGATTGGATTATTGATAGCATTAATAATAATACTATTAATTAATTAATTATAACAATTAATATTTTCTAAAACTTATTGTTTTATTATGTATTAGTATTACATTGTTATAAATTTTATTTATATTTTTAATTATTAATTTACTTTATTTTAATTATATCAATATTTTAATAATTGATTTACATATTAATTATTACAATAAAATATTTTTCTTTTTAATTATTATACAATACATTTATATATATATATACTGTATATATCACATGTAATATAATTTATTTTAATTAATAAAATTATTTTAATACTTTACGATGGATTAACTAATTCGCGTCCAATACTAATCCAACGGATAACACGTCTATTATTACACGGATGTGTTGTCCTATAATTGATGGCCAAACCAATGGCCAGTCCTATCGCGGATACTGTCAACAGTAGTGATGTGCTTATTATAAATGCTTTATAATAATAATTACGCGATTCAATGATTTGATTAATAAAATCATAATCAATTGTCTTATTGTCACATATAATGTTACCATGGTCATCAATTATATTAATATTTGAGCCAGTTACACTGTTGTTGTTGTTAACTATCATAATAATTAACAAATAAATTACAACAAAAAACCAACCAAACATTTTATTATATACAATGTATATAATGTATATTATGTAATGTATATAGAGTATATAAATAATTTTAGTTTTAGAAAATAAATCATTTAAATTACATTTTAACAGAAATAAAATAATTTTAAAAAATAATTTTATCCATAACAGTATTAATAAGTATTAATAGAAATTGTTTAATAAAATATATCATTTTAATTAATAATTATTATTATATTTCAACAACAAATAAAATAATAATATTATGATTTATTATTTTTCAATTTTATTCAATAGCAATTGATTAAACAGTAATCAAATTTATTTTTAATACAATATATATATGTATATATACAGTATATATAAACTAACGGTTTTAACGATAATTTATAAACAAAATATGTGTATAATATTACAATAAATGTTTAAAATAATATTTATATTGTTATTATAGATAATAGTTATTGAAAAAATATATCCTCTGATTCATGATTTTTTTTTTAAAAAAGATAAATAAATGTTTGTATTTTTTCAATATATTTAAATTTATATATATTATTACTTTCAATGTGTCATTTAGGGTGCTAATTATTTTTTTAATTTATTCATATTATTTACATATATACTTAATATATATTATATATTTTATTTTATCAATATATGTAACTAAAATGTATTTATTATTATTAAAATTATTATTTTTTATAACTAATATATAGTTAATACTATGACTAATATATAGTTATTATCAATAAATAATAATCTCTAACTATTAAAAAAAATATATCTTATTTTTTTAAAAAAATCATTAATAATTAAAAATAAAATATATTAGATATTTGTTTATTAAAACTTAATATGCAAACTAAAAAACAAACAAAAAAATAGAAAAACTATATTGATAAAATAAAATTATATAAATTAATATAGTAGTGAAACTTTAACGAGAAAAAAATAATTAACAAATATATTATTATAAACAAATAGTTTTTACCAATTTTTACGACATTAAAAATATTGAAAGTAAAAATTTAAAAAAATGTGTTATTGAAAAAACAAACATTTATTTAATTTTTTAAAAAATTATTAGAAGGTATATTTTATTATAAACTATTTTTAGTAATTACAACATAAATATTATTTTAAAACACTTATTGTCATATTATACACATTTTGTTTTTAAAATTATCACTAACAATTTGTTTATAAATAATATTTATATATAAACCAGTTAAGAATGCTAGTAAGCATTTTCAGAAAAAAAACTTGAATAACATTGAAAACTATTAGTTTGTATAATTATAGCGGCTATATAATAACATATAAAAATTTAAAAACTGGTCAAATATACATAATATAAATATTGTCATGTATGGTATCAAATGATTCAGTATGTCAAAATAAACTATAGTCATGTGGGGTATCAAATGACTCGGTTTGGCAAAATAATCAACTACTCATGTGTGGTATCAAATGATTTAGTATAACAAAATAATAATCTATAATTATACTTTTTCCGCTTATACTTATTCTTTTTGTTCCCGTAGATATCAAAATTTTAATGCATATTTTTTATCCTTGTTTTTGATGGTTTATTCAAATCTATACTTTAAAAAAATTTCTTAAATTTTTTTTATACTTTTTCCGCCATTTAAAAAAATTTATATTGATTTATTATATCATATTTTTGATACTCTTTACAATTATAAACGTTAAAATTTTTACCTAATTTTTTATTTTGGCCGCCATTTTCTTTATGTTCCCGAAGAGATATCAAAATTTTAATGTATATTTTTTATCCTTGTTTTTGATGCTTTATTCAAATCTATACTTAAAAAAAATTTTTCTTAAAATTTTTTTTACTTTGGCCGCCATTTTGTCTATGTTCCCGAAGAGATATCAAAATTTTAATTAAACTTTTCAATACATTATTAGTAGTCCTCTAACCGAATCTGAGGTCAGAATTTCAAAATTCGCAAAATGAAATGCTACACACACACACACACAAAAAAGGCTCGTATAGATTTCAGAAAACAAAACTTTTCAAGTTTTTTTATGAAAATATAAATATATATAACTGTATATCAATTGCTATTATATGAATTGATAAATGATAAATCAAAATCATAACATTATTTTTGTATTTATATTAAAAATAATCATTTAATTAAAGGATATACTTTATTAAACAATTAAAATAAAAACTATTAATACTAATTCTAATTGTGAAATAAATTTTATAATTTTTTTTGTCTAAAACAATGTTATGTAATGTAAATAATTATTTATAAAATTCAATTATATATATCTACTGTATATATACAGTATAAATATATACTGGTATATAAATACAGTATATAAATAAATATACTATTGTGTATACTACAGTATTGCTATTGTATAAATTGTAAAAAAAATAATAAATCAAAATCAAAATATTATTAATTATAATAATCATTATATTATATAATTTATATAGTATTAAAGGATATATTTTATTAAACAATTTCTAGTAATACTATTGTAATGTTAGTGATGATATTATACGAAAAATTATTTATATATATATATATACAGTATATGCTAGTTGTGTACTGTAAATGTTTAGTTATAACTTTAGTTATAATTTTATTATCAATTTTGTTACTTAAAAAAATGTTTAATTGGATTTTTTTGTAATTTATTTGCTAATAATGGTGATGATAATGATAATGATGATGCTAGTTTGTGACAGTGTAGCTGGCTCAAATTATAGCTTGATTGATGTCCCTGATAATATTACTTGTTTTAATAAGACAGTCGATGATATTGTTAAGAAAACCATTGAATCGCGTAATTATTATTATAAAGCATTCATAATAAGCACATCACTACTGATGACAGTATCCGCGATAGGACTGGCCATTGGTTTGGCCATCAATTATAGGACAACACATCCGTGTAATAATAGACGTGTTATCCGTTGGATTAGTATTGGACGCGAGTTAATGAATCCATCGTAAAGTATTAAAATTGATATCAAAAATAAAATATACAGTTTTGTTATATATATACTGTATATATATAATTATATAATTAATAAACAAAATAAAAATTAATTGTATAAATAATTTTTTTTGTTATAAATGTAACTATATTAAATATAATGTATTGAATATTTTAAACAAATCTAATAAAACATTTAATTATTATTATAATTATTATTCCAAAAAAAATTGATAATTAATTTTTATTAATGATATCAATAATCCAATCGACAAACCATGAAACCCTAACAAACATTACGCGCACCCTATCATCGATTTCATGACACTTGTGAGTGCTAATAGTGCGGCCGGTATTTATGCCAATCAATACGGCCCTACCGTTTACATACTGATACAATGGTGCACCAGAATCACCCTAATTAGGTATAGATAGATAAAAATAGGAGTAGTGTTACATACACATACACATACACATACACATACACATACACATACACATACACATACACATACACATACACATACACATACACATACACATACACATACACATACACATACACATACACATACACATACACATACACATACATATACATATACATATACATATACACATACACATACACATACACATACACATACACATACACATACACATACACATACACATACACATACACATACACATACACATACACATACACATACACATACACATACACATACACATACACATACACATACACATACCGCACATGAAAAGGTGCCATTATATGATGGATACCGTTCTCCGAGTATAATCTGACGCCAATAATCTGTATTATTATTGAATGTCTTTTTAATCCTAATGTAACCAATTTTAAGTCTATCACTTTCCTCTTCATCTCTTACTGAACCATAACCAGCCATCAGTGCCAACTCATCCTCGCTATTGAGTGCATCCAACGGTGGCAAACATATACCGTTCAATAGTGTCCGATAGTTATGACCATTAGTGGATAGTTGGCTGCTAAGCGGTAAGTCAACAGTTAGTTTGATGAGTCCAATGTCTACATACTCGGCCCGTCTCCTGGGAAACATCCAATGTATAACTGTTTTCTCAATAGTATATCCATTATGATCATCATCTGGGTATTGATCATCATTGATAAATACTTTACCCGGATAGATTTTTATATTACTTATCGGTTTGTTGCTAGAAAATATGATAATTTTTTTTAATTTGTGTATATAATTATAAATAAAACTAATTAATATTTTTTTTAAAAAAATATTTTATTTATTTTTATTTACTATATTACGTGAGCGGCTGTTAATATCCATCGATTATTTAATATAACACCCGATCCATAGCTAATGTATTCACTGACCAAAAAAATAAATATATATATATATATATATATAGAAAAAACAAACATTTAAAATATAACAATAAATTTAGTGACTGTATATATACAGTATATATTTAATTAAAATAAAATAAAATAAAAATCATTTTGTAATTTACTCCGTGTATACAATCCATACGGCAAACGGCACTTCACCCGGTCCTGGATTGCGTCCATTATTCAGTTCACTGGGTGTTAGACTTGATTGGGATAACCATTGAAAACATTTGCCGTTTGCCAGCAATGATTGGCGTCCGATACCACACATCGGGACAGTTATGTTCGGATAGTCAACAATATCAATGGACCAGACATTTGTGTAGAAACACAACAACAACACCAAAAATATTGATATTATAAACATTTGGGGAATTTAAAAAAAAATAACTATAATTTTATATAAAATATCTTTTTAATAATTTAATAAAACTAATAATAATAATAATTATACTAATAATTTTTTTTATGTAATAATATTAAAATACAATTATGAAAAAATTACTGATATTTGAAATATATTTATATATTGTATATATATATATATTAAAATATCAAATTTTTATCAGAATTTTTGTTAAAATTATATATATATTTTATTACAATACACTAATCTAATAAAAAAAATTTGTTAAAAAAATGTAATTAAATATATTATATTTGATATGAAAATACTTTTAATATATTTTATGTTAATATGAAACAGTTAATCAAGTTTATTTTTTTTAAATTGATAATTTAATTTACTATATATATAAATATATATATATATAAATTCAAATAACAATCATTATTATAGTAGATTTTTACCTTTTATAAAACAGCTGTGTAATTTTATAATTTATTTTATAATTTTAAGTATAATTAATTTATTAATGTATTTATTATTATTATTATTAATTTAAAAAATAAATTAATAATATTTTAGATGTTATTCAAATTCTAATTAAAATTTTATTTTAATTTTCAAAAAAAAACATAAACATAATTTACCAAAAAAAATTACATTAAATAACTGTTTATTTATTTAAATAATTTAATTTTGTTTAACAGCAGTAATACTTAGTATACGATAGTTAAGGTTGACTTCCGTAACGATAGTGTCGGCCAAAAAAAACTGTTGCCAAGCTCTGGGGTTGGGCTATGAGCTGTCGGGGTTGACATAGGCGTCAAACACTGTCAATCCGTTAAGTGATGGTTGAGTTCACTATCAAAATCCGATTGATTTTTTAAAAAAAAATGACCGATAGTTTGACAGAATTACTGGCATTAGATCTATTAATTAATTAATTAATTAAATAATTAATAATTAAAAAATTAAAAATATAACTATAAATTATAACTTGTTTTTATTTGTTTTGTTTTTTTTTGTTTTGATAAAAAACTAACCAATTATTTGTATTGTAAACCACTTTGTTATCCATCACATCAATGACATCAATATTGTTGTCGTTGAAGATAAGGTCTATATATATATATCACTTGTTTGTTCAGACATACATTATGTGTTATATGTGTTATAAGTGTTATAATAAACAAACAAACAATTAATTAATTGAATACTAAATTCAATGACAATAATAAAACACTTATGAAATTAAAACAATATATTATTTATTTAGAAATTCAATTATGATTTTCAATTGTTATCATTGGAAAAAACTATGCATTAATTAAATACTAATTCATTCATTTAAACAAAACATTTTCAAATTTAAACAAATATTTAATGATATAATAATACAAAATTTAAAATTAACTTAAAATTGGTATAAAATTTACAAAAGTTTGACATATACAGTATAATAATAATAATAAATATATTACAATATTATTTCTAAAATAGTAAAATAATCAATTGTTTTTTTTATAAAAAATTTTATCAAAAATAATATTATCGGTATTTATCAGTGAAAAATAAATTTATCAAAAATTATATCAAATTTTAAATTTAATAATACATATGAACAATAAAAATAAAACTAAAGTCTTATTAAATACAAATAAATTATATTAATTTCGATTATAATTTTTTAAAATCATATTTAAACAATAATTTTCAGTAATTATCAATAATAATGTTTTTTATATTTATTAAGTAATCTATTAATTACCGATAACTGTAGTAATGTTTTAGCCAATAAAATTGATAATTAAATTAAATATTATAACAATACGTATAATACATGAGTTTTGTGCCAAACTTTGGTAAATGTTTGTCAAAATTATTAACAATTTGTGTCATAATTACCGAATCGATGGCATATTTTTCGGTAAACTCTTTGGCGACCATTGATGTAATGTTTTCACCGATAAAATCGATAACCTTTTTCACCAACACTTCATCGGCGCCAAAGTCTTTGAATAGTTTCAATGTTTTCATTGCATTGTTTGTATTGATTCGCAGATAAATCCAATTAAGACATAATGTCTTCAGCGATGATACCATAAACTTGTTGGCGACGTATAGAAGTTGTTCAGTCATTTCATCCAATTTGTCACACATTCCGGTTGAAAGATATTTCAAGAACTGTTCGAAGACATCGCTATCGATGTCATCGATGATTATTTCAGTAGTTTTCTTCTTCTTCGTCTTATTCTTGTATTCAGTGGTAAATGTCTTCTCAAAAACTTCTGATTTCAAACTGAGTGCAAACTTCGAGGCGAAGAACTTAGTCTTGTCTTTGCCGACAATCAGACAGCAATCGTAAAACTCTTGTTTAGAAAACAATTGTTCAAAACGACGTCGTTTTGCGCCACAATTTTCGGGACAATTGTTTGTTTTGTTTACCGTTATATCGGCAACAATGGTCAGTGTGTTGTTATTCGGTAATAGTCTGTCCTTATTGTCCATCAATTGTTGTCTTGTAATATAACAAGAGTTACCATTACCAATAGGTTCGGCAAATATAAACCTAAACTCTTTGTTTGCAAACAATTGGTTTATGTTGTCATCACAGATGATGGACATCGAGTATTTGGTATCAACTGGTAGTTCATTGCTTTCATTCAAATGTAAATACAGACCTAACTTTTCGTTCATCGAAGTCATACTAACAAACCTTTTATCTGATCCAATGTTAAATGAATTACTTAAAATTTTTGTCTTTTCCGACCAATTGGTGTCCAATAATTGTTTTGCAAAATCCATAACTTTGAATATCACTCGTGTCTTGTATACGACTTTACTGTTGTTGTTGTTGTTGTCATCATCAGTGGTGTTGGTGTCCAATGATCTCTTCACTGTTGTTGTTGTTGTTGTTGTTGTTGTTGTTGATGTCATTTTGGGCTGATAGAGTGATTTAAGGAATTAAAAATCCCGAATAGTGATGGTAGCACAGACCGCCCTGAGTCTACCCATACCACCCACATAGCTGTCCGACCTCCGCAATTTGAGATATTCGACTTTAAAGTCGAAAATTATTTTTGACGTTATTTATGAATATGATACATACCTTCTATGTATTTTTCAATACTAATTATGAATATGAAAACTAAATCTCACTATGTCAAATAGTTTTCGAGATATTCGACTTTAAAGTCAAAAATATTATTTTACATTATTTATGAATATGAGATATATTATTTATGCATTTTCTAATACTAATTATGAATATGAAAATTAATATACATTACGTCATAGTTTTCGAGATATTCGACAATCAATTTCTTTCTTATTTATATAAATATCAAAAAGTTTTTCCGATAACTAATTATATTATTTTCATTAATTTATCTATATAATAAAGACTGTGTTGCGAAAAATTTAATATTTATAATTTAAATAATACAATTCTAATTTTTATTTGAGTGTAATATACTTTATGCCCCTCGCCAGTTATCATCTTATTGGGTAACTTTTAACATTTATTGGCTAAATGACCACTTAAATAAAAATATGCCGGATTATATATGAAATGGTTAAAATAAATATAATAAAGTTATCATTCACTTACTGAATAATGTTAAGATTTGTGTTTAATTTTATGACAATCTATGTAATCAAATAAGAAAGTTATGGATCATTAAAAATGATGTAATAGCAAAATTGGAATTACGTGAAACTATAATAATGCTAGTAAATGTAATTATTTTTTAGTTAACATTTATTTTTAAAATTGTCACTAAAGAAAAGTAAGAGGAGTTTACTCTGAAGTATTATGTGAAAAATAAAAAAATTCATTTGATTTAAGTCTGTAAGAATTAATCAAAGTTTAGCATAATTTTATTACAATGGCACACACTCATTAAATCGGCTTCAGGAACATTTATTTAAAGAGATATGGTGGCAATCTATTATCAGAACAATTATACATTCACAACAATGTTCTTACGTAGTTATTTATTTTTTTAAATTTTAAGAATTTTATTAGAGGAACAATTTAAATTGCCTAATATACATTTTTGGAAGACCTAATTTTACTTTCTGGCACCGCTATACGACAAGTGATCCGACAGAATATTTGCGTTCATTTGATGTAAAGGATAGTATATTTAACGAAAATGTCTAAAAAATAATTTTAAATTTTTTTAAGATGGTGTTTATCACCATATAACGAACGCACTAATAATATATATACACACACTAGTATTTTTAGTCTTCTTTTACCTTTAAAACCCTACTGTATAATCTTAATATTAATTAATAAATAAAATTTACCTATATTTGTGTATTCTACTAACCTAACCTACCCTACCAACTAACCCAAAAAACAACTATCGTTACATAAGATACTTAAATTATTTTGGCACAAATATTTATTTTGACTTTAAAGTCGAATATCTCGAAAACTATTTGACATAATGAGATTTAGATTTCATATTCATAATTAGCATTGAAAAATACATAGAAAGTATGTATCATATTCATAAATAACGTCAAAAAAAATTTCGACTTTAAAGTCGAATATCTCGAATTGCGGAGGTCGGACAGCTATGTGGGTGGTATGGGTAGACTCAGGGGGGTCTGAACTACCATCACTATACGGGATTTTTAATTCCTTAAAGTGCTCTACCAACCGTCATTTTGATTGTTATTTTAGACAATTAGAAAATATTCGCTAAAATTAAATGAAAGTTTCATAACATGTATATCAATACAAAAACAATATTAAAACAATATTATGCAATACTTGTGTTTAGTGTTGGCAATAAAAATAAAGAAATTTATAAAAATTATAGAGAAAATTTCTAGAAAGTTTCTAAAAAAAACTAATAATAATAACTATCTATATCAGTGATCTCCATGGTTAATTTTATTGTCATAATATT